TATATATATATATATATATATATAAAATTAATATATATTATATTATAATGTGTAATTTAAAAAATAACTTACATCCTAAAATATTTTTCAAACTATTATCTAATTTTTCTAAATCTTTAAACTTTGTAGCACCATCTGCATCTGCAAAAAGTATTACACTTCCTCTTGCACTTAATATACCCTTAAATAAAAATAATTGTGATAAAAAATAAATAGTAATTATAGAATTTAAAATTTATAGCATTTTATCACAAACCAGTCTTACTGCTCCACCTTTTCCTCTATTTTTAACAAGATTTAATACTCTAATATTTTCATATCTTAATGCATACTTATGAGCAATATCCATAGTTTTATCTGAACTTCCATCATTAACTATAATTACTTCATAAGTACATCCATTTTTTAATCGGTTTTCCAAATATTCCAAACATTCATTTAACATTAGGGGCACTATAAATTAAATATATGAATATATATATGTTTTTATAATATTTTTATAATGTTTTTATAATTAATATTGTTAATAAATAAATATTTACATCTTTCTTCTTCATTATATGCTGGTATAACAACACTTAAATGTACACTCCATTTTTCATATAAAGATGGAAAAGCTTCTATATTTTTTGTTTTTAGATTTAAAAAATATTTTTCTTTTTCATCTCGCCATATTTCTGGATATGGTTGTGTTATTATAAATAATATTAAAGAAAACTGAAAAAGTAAATAATTATATTAATATATCAGGAAAATAATTATAATTATTATATGTAATATATAATAATAACAATTATTTATGTATAATATAATATATTTTTTTAATAAAATTTTACTGAAACGATATTAATACATTTATAAAATTGCCACGTTTAAACAAATTAAAATAATATATAAATATGATTTAACCTAAAAACATACCATAATTATACATATTATTACAAATAAAATAATGTAAAGAAGTAAATATTCCAATGATATCATTTTAATATTATAATATTTTTAAATACTAGCAAAAAATACTTTACAACACATATATAACTTGTTTCATAGCTTCCTTTTTTCTACCGCCACTCATGCCGTTGAACTCATAGTTAATTTATATAAGTTTATGAATAGTTGGCTACACTAAGTAAAAACATTTATTGTTTATCTTTTCATTGATAGATGAATTTTATATTTAAAAGAAAAAATAATAATAAAAAATGTGAAATTTTTAATAAAAATAATTAAAATTAAAATAATTTAAAATTTGATAATTTTTTATTTTACGAATTAAACTTTTAATATTTTATAGAGAAAATGATAAAG